ATGTCCTTTGGACAGATGAGACAAAACTGGAGCTCTTTGGCAAAGCACATTAGCTTTATGTTCACAGATGCAAAAATAAAGCAGACCAAGAAAAGAACACTGTCCCTACTGAGAAGCATGGAGGAGGCTTTGTTTTGTTCTGGGGCTGTTTTGCTGCATCTGGCACAGAGTGTCTTGAATCTGTGCAAGGTACAACACAATGTCAAAACTATCAAGGAATTTTGGAACGAAATGTGTCACCTAGTGTCAGAAAGCTTAGTCTCAGTCATACGTCATGGGTCTCCCAACAGGATAATGAACCAAAACACAGTACTAAAAACACCCAACAAAGGCTAAGAACAAAACATTAGACTGTTTTTCCTGGTATCTGCTGTAGCTGCTCCTACAGTTTGGGGGTTACAATCTCAAGTGCTCTGATCACCACAGGCACCACTGATGCCTTCATCTTTAAGGCCTTCTCCAGCTCTTCCTTGAGCCCCTGGTATTTCTCCAGTTTCTCATGTTCTTTTTTCCTGATATTACCATCGCTTGGTATTGCGATGTCACCACCACGGCTTTGTTCTGTTGCTTATCCACCACCACAATGTCTGGTTGGTCCATCACCATCCTGTCACTCTGTATCTGGATGTCCCACAGGATCTTGGCTCGGTCACTCTCCACGCCACAAGGGTTTATCCCTAAAGAGCAAGGAAAAAACTGCCTAGGAACCTTCAGTGTCAATCCTATTGCAAGGCCCTGTGGATAGAGGTCACAAGTTTGTGATATACTAAAATGATCACTAAATTATTTGATACTTTGTACTTGGTTTGTATTACAGTGTTCTTTCCCTAAATGAATGTGTCTGATATATCTCCTGCTTGTTATGTAATGGGGCAAACTGAGATGAACGAGGAGCAGTGTGCAGACCTAGCAGCTCTGCTGGACGAGCTGCTTTAATCACAGCACGTTTCATTTCTGTCCACAGAAACAAACACAGTGATGAACGAGCATTCTCACAGATGCATGAATAATTAAAGATGTTTGTCCCCCTGCAGTCACCGTAGTTTAGTGACTCCGCTAAGGCAAAAAAAGGACAGTTGCTACAGACAAACCTATGTTACTCATTATACCAACTTAAATATTGTGAAAGTGCCTCAGAAAAGGTCAAATTGAATGGATATTAAAATTATCTGTCAAGTCTATGACATTTCAGCCTAGTCTTTATGGTTATAAATGTGAAAAACACACCAAGGATCATACTAGGCCTAATGGCTCAGCAGTCTAATATTTTACTTCAGAATTCACAGTGTATAATGTCCCTCCTTCTCAGTGTTCAACAATGTGACATTCAAGGACACACTGAGAAACAGATCTATTCTCCTGACTCAGTCACACATACAGCAGGCAGCACACAGGTATATGTTTTAATTAGCTGACAATGACAACTGAAGGTAATACCTTTTAATTAGGCACCAATCAACACTGCAGTATTCTATGATTAAATTAGCTATTTTTGCCAATTGAAAGTGCTATATATTTTAATTAGCCTAGCTTGGAGGGCCAGGATATATGTTTTAATTAGCAAGTCCTGTGTGGCCCGTGCGCCACAGGGCTCACATCAGCCTGAGTGTTAATCACAAGCACAAATGAGACTAATTGTTTTGATCCAGGAGCCCCCAGCGGCCCTTTGCACCACTTCTGTCTACTTTTAAGAGCTTCAACACTTTCATTGTGGATTCCAATTGTGCTTGGCCTACTTTGGTTTGCCGGAGCATCAACAAGAGGGCTCAAACTTAATAGACTACACTTCATATGCTCATATCTCCTATGCTTTTCTTTTGACTGCTCGTCCAACCTCAGCACTCATGTATCATGTATCGATAAAATAATGCTTCATGCTTAGTGGAGAGGAGGTCATCCAAGAGTCCACCAGGTGTGGAAGACAGTGGCTCATTCCTGTCCCAAAGATTACGTGCCCGTGGCACTGACCTTTGACCTCATGATGAGTGTGGAGCGATTTCTGGAGTAATTATGATACATGGTACAATGTCTACATGACCTCCTCCAGTTTTCGAACCAGGTCCACCTTAGAGTGGAGTCAAGTCTAGACACATCAGCACTATGTATATATTCTATGATTTCTTCGGTGTGTTTGTCGTCACTTCTGCAGGTAAAATCATTGCTGTCTTTGATAAGCCTGTACTGTAAAATGTGTATAAATGTGTTCTGCATTATTCAGTTCGTTATCTTAATGTTGTAAAATATGTAAATATGTTGTGAGGTTTCTACTACTATATACTTTTTATATGTTATTTTATTTTCACCAGCAGGAAGCTGCATGTCTATAATTTAAATAATTTCCACCAGGAAATGAATAAAAGAAATTCAGATACTAATGCATGTTTTCTGTAAGATAATTGGCAGATGTCAGTATTAACACTTTTATTAATGGTGAATACAAATAATTCTTATGTTAGCATTATTCACTATACTGTAATTACTGAGACTATACAGAGGAAACAAAAGTAGTGCACATATTCACACCTCTTTCTGTTTCTGTTGTCAGAATGATGGGAGATGAGGGGTGATGTTGGGGTGAGTGGTGTCTCTCAGGACTCCTCATAACAGTACAGAACACACGTCGTCCATGTTGGCTCATCTTTCATATTTGGTGTCGAAGGCATCATTTTGAGGACAGCTCCATCTGGCCTCATCTGATTGAGTCAGGTGACAAATGCATTTGTCACTTCATGATTTATGATTTGGGAGCGTGGCTTTGGTGTCACTGCACACATACAGGTGTCCCAGGACAGCCTCACTGACATCACCAGGAGCACATCTGCTGTGCTCTGTTCTCTGTTTGGTTGGACACCTCTCATAAACATCACCTGTGTTCCCAGACGAGAGGTATGTTCGAGTCAAATATTGCTTTTAGTGATAACAGTTGATTTATTACATGAACATACTTTTGGTTACCTATTGCTGAAGCAAGTTGGAAATAACCTGTCATGAGCTTTACACTGGAGCTCAGTGAGTGTATTCTGGAGGTTTGGAGCTTTCATGTGAGACATCACCTTTTCTCAAAGCATGAGGAAAAACTGGTAGGCTGTGTCTTCGATGCAGGTTAAGGCACTGGCCAACCAGGTTCAGCTGTAATTGTAGCATCTGTGCTGACTACATATGGTATTATAACTAATTGACATTCACTTTACATAGCCCTTTTGTGGAAGAAAAAATGGGAAAGGCAACATTTATATTTCAGGTAATACTTACTGCAACATACTGTATAAAAATGGCAATACAGTCAAAAATAGAACCTGGTGAGGAAGGCCTTCATACTGAGAATTACTACTGTAGTCAGATATTTAACCTGTGGAATTAGCAGTGTAGAGACCTTCCACATCATACCATCTCAGTGAACACTGAACAGAGGACAGAAAGTGTGTAGCCTCGGCTCTGCTCCTGACCTTGGGCATGAGCGTCTCTAAAAAGCACAAACACACGATGGAGCTCTTTGTTCACATGTGCATTCTCTGCTCCATCTCCCTCTAAAACTCTAGTACAGAATAACGGGCCTGCTTTGGGTGAAAAATGCTCTCATTAGCCCAACCTTGGAGGGAAAGGGCAGACCAGGCTCAGAAACATGCAGCCATATCCTGTGTCTTCATCCATGTCTTTGTGTAGCTTTGGGTAGAACAGAGTGCAATGGAAGACTCTATAGTGTTTGTTCAGGTGCTCATAGTTTCAGTTATCTTTGCTGAAGTTGCAATGGGATGTTGTAGGAATGTAGTCTACTAACACCAAAAAATATAAAAATTATAGTCACACATATACACTGGGCTGAACAATGCAAGTTAAAATGCTTAAAGGACCCATATCATGCCATTTTCTGATCTATGTAATGTTTCCTTATCAAAAACATGTTATTCTATACTGAGTTATTCTCTCAAACTGAAAACACTCTGTCCCATCTTGCGATGTCATGCCGTAATACAAGAAATGCTCCACTGTGTTATTTAAATCCATACACCTTCACCAGAATCATTTGGATAATCTCACCCCTTGAACTGCCAATCTCAACTGAACAAAAGGTAAAATGTAACATCTGCTTTTTAAATGTATGCATGGCAGACATTTTCAGAGGCACTGCAACCTACTTTGTGATCAGTTAATCATTCAATTTATCAATACATACAAAATATCAAAACAAAATGATTCCTTGACCTTTTCCATATCTACCAACAGATAAATACAAATTCTACTTTAGAATAAAACGTAATATTTGAAATTCACATCACAACTGATCAAAGTTAGTGTGATTGTATACTCAAACTAAATGTGTATAATTTCAGTTCAAACCATGCTCTTGCAGAGGCAGGTGCCAGGCTGCATTAGCAGGACAAGAGCCGTCCCAAAGCTCCCAAACAGGAGACCTTTTACTGAGACTCCTGTGAAAGTGTCCAGGTAAATCTTCATGTGTTGAGGAGCTCAGATCAAACAGACCACTGCTGTCCCACTCTCAGGACTTCTTAAAGTGCTGGACAGTGGCGTCTTGTCCATGACTCAGGATCAAAGTGCTGCCAGTTTCTTTGTGTGATCTCAGCTCAGACAGCTGTGGGCGGACAGCACACATCTGGCCTGGAATACTAATCATAGTCTTCACTCTTATGCACAGTATTTTATATACTTATAAACTGATTTTCAATAAAGAACACAGATGAAATTGTGATGTGTTGATGAAAGATTCCCCACAGGAAACTATTAAACTAATCATAAATTCATATAAATATAGAAATTCAATTTAGATTTAAAATATGAAACTGTTCTGGTGGAGTGTCCAACACCTGCTTGTCTGCATTTGAGTTGCTACACAAAGTCAAACTGTACATAACTGTATCGGACCAGACACATCAGACCATCTTTCAGTGAACAGGTAGTCCTGTACCTGTAGTCAAAATGAATACACTGCAATTTAACATTTGATCTAGTAAAACTTTGAAATAAAAAATAAAAAAAAGCCATAATTTTAACAAAATTTACTGTAAATCAGTTGTTTGTCATTTATCATAATTAAAATAGAAATTAGAAACATGATTTTGTAGAGAGTTTTAAAATTAAATTATTAAAGAAATCATTTTTATGGATATTATGTTTTCATTTAGTGCACAGAGATGTTGGGAACTGAAGAGTATTTGGTCAAGTTTTTAAGACCAAGTGTGTAGTTCATTATTCCTCCACTAGAGGGGGCGGTGACAGTTTGAGTTGGAAGTCAACTCCTGTCTGTGCAGACATGAGGAGCCCAGGCTTCTCTGAACTCTGTGTCAGTTCTGATAGAATGGACAGCTGCAAGACAGACAGAGATATTTTTTTAAATACTATTAATATGGATTAATATGAACATAGAAGTATACAAATAACTCTAAGCCCAGAGAGACATTGTGTAAAACTACACAATTTTTGACTGAATGTTTAACTTGTAAAGATAAGGTGCAAGCTCATACCCGTGAAGGCCCTCGATACAAACTGCGCAGCTGGTCCCAGGACTGTTCCTGATGATGGTCTAATGTGGCTTCAACAAAAAACTGGATGACATAAGGGTAAAAAACATCAATATTATCAGAGACCATTGACTTGAACATTCCCAAATCTCAGTCCCTTTCTGAGACCTACCTGTCCACTGTAACTATTTGTAATACAGATAATAAACAACATTTTCCAAAACTATAATATGCAGTGTTTGGTTCCAAAAAGAAGTTCAGTTCAGAAGGGAAATGGCTCACCTTCTTTCTCTCAGAATCTGAGTCATGGTAGACGGATGTCACTCGTGTCTGTGGAGAAATACAAAGAACTTTATTCAAAGTCTACATAAGCCTGGAGAGACATTTCAGAAAAGAAGAGCCTTGCCTGTGCCAAGGAGGCCGTGCGGCCTCTCTTGGGCTGGCTGGGGGGCACAGTGCGACCCCCCTGACTCGATGAACATTTGTAGCAGCTCCACACTTTGTTTTTAGGGAACTGCCCCAAACTACAGTCCTTCTGCTGCAGGCACTGGAGGTGGTACAAGTGTCCACAGCTGGAAGCACCAAAGAAAAACACGTTTCTCTGGTTAGGAATAAAATTTATCATAACAGCATTATGAATAGTAATTTAATCAAAAGAACAGACCTGAAAACAATGATCTCCTCTGTGCTGTCCTGTTTCCTCTTGTACTGCTGCAAACAGATAATGCAGCTGTCCTGTCGGGGGTGGAGCCCTCGTTTCACTGCAGAGTGTAGGTGAGCCAGGGACCAGTGGAGATCATGGTTCAGCAGATTTGTAGTGGTTTCAAGCAAGGTCTTTAAAAATATATATAAAAATATTTTCAAACATTATCCAATATCTGCACAATTGGATAACCATTGCTTTAGACACAGAATGTACTGTGGTATGAAGATACAGTATAGATATTTATAAACAAGATGATGAGTTTACAAAGGGTGGTGCATGAATTGCCTTTGATGGAGCTATGAAAGTAGACACTCCTGCCTGTACCAAAATGGTAAAACATTTTTTGAAAACAAGACTGAAATTAATTCCAGTCCAAATCTCACACCTAACTGTAAACTCTAAAATGGGTCTGTACCTGTTCATAGTTGAATGTGTCAAGCATGCCCAGGATAAGACCCTGGATTTCTGCCAGCTTTCCCTTTCCATAAACAGGATCCTGAAAAATACAAATAATCACATTTACATCTTAACTAAATATGTGACAGATGTAACTTTGAGTCTAAAATATTTGCACATTTGTTCAAACTTTCATTTGAATGGCATGCAAGCAGATAGTAGTGAACAACCTGTAGTATTCTCTGGATGATTGCTGGCAGAGAGATGAAACTGCTCATGCTGTTCAGAACTTTCATTGTCAGCTCCTTGAGAACTGAAAAGCCACAGATAATGCATACTATTTAACATACTATTTAACAGCTATATATTATTCAGAAGTTAGGTCTGAAATTGCCACTGATATTTCTGTGTTAATGTAATAAACATAACTGGGTGTAGTTCATGATAATATCAACATAAACAATTTCTCAAGACTAGGACAAGTGAAGATTATTTTACTTAATAGTAAATAACCCTGACCCTGTTATTGTTACCTTCAGAGGTGTGCTTGCTGTTTGCACCTGTCATATTTTTTTGTGAAGCCATCATGGCCTCAAGAAGAGGGAACCACAAACCCTGCACACACAGCAGATCAATAAAACAAAATGCACATCAAATTAAATGAAAATATGAAATACTAATCAGGAGAAAAGCTGGTTGTCCTTAGAAGATTTGCTGAAGTAACCTCAGTTTGTTGTTGATTTAGACCTTGGGAGCTCCGGTGACACAACTCAATAACAGTGTTCAAAGCCTGCTCCAGGTCTTTGTGAGCAGACTCCTCCTCAAGACTTCCTTCAGTCTGACTGGCTGTCAACACTGTCAGCTTCTCTTTCAGCATCTTAAAAACAGGGAGACATATTTGCATGATCAGAGCAGCAGAGAGGACTCACCATCCAGGACCTCTCTACCTCCTGTTTACACTAAAGCAGGACTATACAGAAGCAGCAAGACCAGGACCAAGCCCAAGGCTAGCCTCATCTTAAACGTTTCCAGAACAGCTATCAGCAGCCTAGATACTTCTTCACACTATTATTTAATCACACAGATGATTGGGTAATTGACATTTACCTCTAAAAGGATGTTGAAGGCTCCATGGACATCACCCTTCTTCTCCAGCAGGTAGGCAGTCGCCTCATTGTGGTGGTACTTGTCAGTTATCTACAGTCATACAAATGCATGCGATTATTATGTTGGTGAGTTCTCCTAAATAATGCACGTCAGGGTGAAGCTATTACAGCAGTGTGGAATACAAAGGTTAAACCTCGAAATAAATGCAGCATCAAGGAAAATAAAACAAATATTGCTTTGTTCTTTATCACCAGCACCTTGTTTGACCTGGCTAATGTGCAGAGAATATAAACTTCCTCAATTCAAATTACTTCTTATGGCCTATTATCATGGAAAAGAGGTGGGGATGTGTGTCATAGTCACCTGAATGGCCTCCTCCAGTCTGTACTGCTGACAGCTCTGCAGGAAATCCAGCAGCTGCTCAGGGGCAAAGCGGCACATTAGCTCCAACAAGAGCTCGTGGAGTGATAGATCCTGGGTAAGACTGGGGGCCAGGCATGGGCCATCTCTAAATGCAGCAGAGAAAAGGAAATCAGACTGTGAAGGACAAAAGGAAACACCAGGAAACAACACTACCTTGGTCCCAGGAGACAGCTAAGGAGGTTAAACTGAAGCTGGGCCTCCTGAGGAAAAATAAAATAATATGATTACATTTTCATGTGGAGAATTTAAAAGGTGTTATGACAATTTTAGATATAAAGTCATATTTTTACAGAGCTACTATCATCAAAAAGTAAATATTCTGATTTCTGTCATGTTTGTATTACAAAATACTGGATCCTTTGGCATTGGACATGTTTTTCTTTACTTTTGATCAGATCAGGTTAGCAGATCATTAAGTCAATCATGTAATTTAATTGAATAAATCAAATGCTTTTGAGGGAGGCAGTTACTTGTGTGAAGCACAAAGGTCTATGAGGGCAGACATATTGTGATCAGTGTTGTGAGATGATGTTGCTCGATGATGTTGCTCTTGAAGAATATGTGGATGTACGGATTAGAGTGACACTCACCTGCAGCACGGACAGAATCGACTGCACCTCCTCAGAAAAGTGAAAGAGAACCAGGTCTGAGGATTTCTGTGCATCCAGGCACACCAGTTCCTATCAGAGTAAACTATTATTAGTTTCATGCTGTTTATTACCTGGTCCCCAAAGGGTTGACCAGGTTTTGTATTCACCCTGTGTGTCAGTGTGTGTGTCTGTCCACCCTCGATAATTCTGTCATTTATGGACCGACTGTCACCAAATTTGGTACGTGGGTCAAGCCTCCATGCCCGATGCCACAAAAAAAGTTCTGACAATCCAAGGTCATTTGAGGTCACACAGGTCAATTTAATGGTCATGCCATTATAAAGGCTAGGCAATTTCATCAATTTCTGAACCATCTGCGGGCTAAAATATTCACCCAATCATTACACAAGTTGGCCCACACATAACCGGGGTATGGGCTGGGCTCCTCATAAGATGGCTTCCGTGGTGACGAACTGCCCCCCACCGATGCCTCATGGGGGACCAGGTTGCTATCTCTGATTGCGCTGGTTTAAATGCTGTTGTATGTCTCTTTGTGATACCTTGATGTGCAGCAGAGCCTTGTCCCTCACAGCCTGCTTCTCTTCGACACTATAACCTGGCATAGACAGCAGGTTGTGCACATAGCTGAAGATTTCCTCCTAACATTTAAAAAAGATCACTTAAATGTCTCAGACTCCACTTTAGTACAGAGTTAGCACCTTACCTTCCGCAGGGGGTCATTCAAGTAGCAGTCTATGATTCTGTCATACAGGTGTTTCTTCTCATACAAAAACTCACAAACCTGGAAGCTACATGACAAAGAGGGTGGATTAGACATTAAGAGAAAATCTGTACAAAGATCAACATAAAAAGTGAAAAAAAATCTGCACATTTATCTTTAGTATGTAGAGTATATGAAAGTACAATATACAGATTATTCTTCAGACTTACAACTTGGCCTTTTCAGCTAACGTCAGTAGTCCTTCTTCATCAAACTGCACCACACCGCCCACCTGTAGCAGTTCTAGCAGCACCTGCAGGTCACGGTATAAAACAGCTACCGCATCTGCTCAAATAGGATACTGTACTCAGATAAACTGAAATATGTTGTATGCATGTCACCTGCTGCCTTTCAGTATGTCTAGAGTCATCCACTGGACTGCACAGGAACTCCAACACCTGTCCATGCAAACCACAAAACAGCCAGGCAGAGTTTAGTGACAAATACATATGAGTGTGTAAACATGGGTTCAAATGATAGATGTTCATATGTTTCTGGACCTGATCAAATAGATTTCGGTTGACAAACAGTGTGTTGTCTGGTTTGGCCAGCTGCCGAGCCAAGAAGGTGAAGAGACAGCCAACCTGAGACGGAGTGAAGTCAGGGTTATCCACCATCACCTGCCAGATAAAAATAAATGTACTTTCAACACAAGCATTCAAATAAAGGACAGTTTTGAAAACAGGTTTGAACAAATTAGTATTGCCTCATAAAGCATAACAGAAGTAAAGGACAAAAATAAGCTGTGCATCAATTGTCAACATAGGACCATAGCCACAACAATACAAAATCTGTGCACCAATAGGGTTTATGCTGCACCATTTAAGATGCCCACAATTAGACTGAAGGGAAAGCAACGTTGTCAGCTCATCTTTCACACTGACTGGGAGCACCACATATGGGACACCTACCTGAAGTAGGATGTCAACTATTCTCTGCTGGTACTCTAGTGCCTGTTTGTCATTCTTAAAGTCTTCAAACGTCTGCAATTAAAAAAAAAACATACAGTAGATAATTAGTACATTCTACTATGTATTATATCAAACATCTGACAAGTGCATTTTCTCACCATAGCCAAGACATTGAGGAACTCGCGGGTATCAAAGTGAAGCAGAGTGCGAATAAATGGGAACACATCCTCTTCCTCTGTGGAGTCAGCCGAGTGCAGTCGGATCAGGAAGTCAAAGACCTGCAACAAAAATCCTTACAATTATGCAGTTTAAACTGGACAGAGAAACAAAACAACTGAAAAACTAAATCTGTGGTGTGAGAAAAAGCCCAGTAAAGCTTATATGGCCAGCAAAAAATACTATACAGGTATAAAATAAAACTGAATATTAAAATACCTGGTTCTTGACCTGCGTCACCAGGTCTTCAGGGATGTCTCCAAGAGGATACGCTCTCCCAGCCAGACAGCAACTATCCAAACAACACATTTTACAATTACAGAAAGAAACAATGCCACTAATACTACTATAATAATCTTCAAGGACATATTCAAAAGCCAACACCAGTTTTACTTTGCAGTATTAGTGTCGACTCACCTTATGTAAACTAGGACCTTATTCCCCATTATCACTTCTTCATCTGTCAAATTGTAAAAACAGTGAGACTAATAAAATAACAAATGACTAATAATTACGAGTGCTTGTATGACTAAAAATGGGTAATCTCTCACCTGTCAGACTTCGCCCCTCTCTAAGAGGAGGACCAATCACTGAAAAAAGTTTCTGTTAAAAGTCAAAAGGAAAAGTTAGTCCAAGAGTTCATGAATATACATTACACTCACAGATAAACAGACATACTTCTAAAGGTGTGATGTAGTCATTCATGCCACTGTTGAAGACATACATCATGGCATCATACAGTTTATTATCCCAACAGACGTTCACCACCTGAGAAACACAGGCACAGGGTTAAGGTTTCAGTTACAGAACATGAACACTTCTCCTTAAGACTACACTGATATACCGAAATACTGAAATAGAAGATAAAAATAATTAATAAATGTGTTTTTATAAACATTGTGTGCACATGTGAGACGAGTAATATGGTTCTAATATGTAATATGGTAATATGGTAATAAGGAGAAAACACTTGAAGTTTGGATATTCAACCTGCTGAATGTCCAGGCTGGTCACATCCAGATGCACAATGCACCTCTCGAGGCTATCCATCATGCCGTTGCCATGGTAATGGGCAAGGAGGTCCCTCATAATAGGTGTGGTCAGATGACCCAAGCGATCTGCCACAATGTAGGACTCCAATACTTCGAGGAATACGCCCTTTGCCACAACATTTTCCAGCAGTCGGCTGTAGAGCTGATTAAACAGCAAATCCCTGCACAAAATAGCGTAGGTTCACCAAGGTGTGTCTATTCTGTTGGAGACATTAAATCTGGGTTGGGCCAATCTTATCAGAAAACAAACAATAAAGAAATGACTCCCAGTAATTTCAGTTAAAATATAATTAATATACAGTACTACAGTAAAAGAGCAGCTTTTATAGTTATTAGGATAATTAACAGTTGTTGTTTTTTTTATCCATGAACAACTACAAGTACAACTACAATGTGGAACAAAAGTATAAAAGATTACTTACAATCTTTGTAGCAGCAGGCAGTAATCCACCAGGACAGGAACAATGTCCTAAACAAAGTAAACATTTGACTCAAACACTACAAGGTCTGAACTCTAAAATCAGTGACTAGGTCTCAATAATATAAATGAAACAAATTAACTGAAATTGTGAGCTCACGTGGAAGTGCTGCTCCATCACTTGAATTTTTCCTTGCTCTGGACACTTCTTCAGAGCATGCTCCGTGAATTGCAAAAGGATCTCCACCATCTGCACAACATGAGAACATGAAGAGTGAACCAAGAACTTAAAGTTGTAATGCGGATGTGGTGGTCTTTTGGCTCCCACCTTATCACCCACAACTCCTTTCCGTTTCACTGGATCTCCACAGAGACCTGGAGTAAAACAGTTATGAGACTCTGAGCACAGATCTATAGGACTGCGAGGTAAGACTGATGTAACTCACCAACTACAGCTTTAGCTGTGCCCTCGTGAAAGACCAGGCCAAAGAGAGGGCCTCCACGAAACTGTCCTGCTTCAGCAAGCAGTCTATCCGCTGAAGAAGAAAACAATGTAACACAAAGTGTAGTAGTAACATTTATATCATACTGACATTATAATGTTCACACCTCTCTCCAGCTTCTTAGAGTCATCATGTGAGCAGACTGTCAGAAAAGAGTGCACAAAGTCAAGTACTGCTGATATTATTTAATAATAAGTCTTTTATAGTGCCAATTACCTTGGTGCCTAAATAAATGATCTGGCCGGCATAACTTGACACAGACTGGTAACAGGCCTTTTCACCGACCAGAGCCTGGAATACACACAGCATTGGATCAATTAGTTATTATTGTCTAACCAAAACTGTAAACTAGGGTTATTGGTTTATCTGCCCCAAACAATCCCAGGAGACAATACGAGTAGTTGAAGACCCCTACCAGAGCCTGGGACACATTCCCCCCTGTGGCCAGAGACTTGAAGTGTCGGCTGTTGTAGACCAGCTGAACCTGCTCCAGGTCCATAATCTCCAGGACCTCCTGACTGGGTTTATCCACCACCTGCAGCTTCTCGTGGCTGTCCACCAGAACAAGGGTACGGCTGTTTATCCACTGCTCCACACAGAGACAAAAAACTTTACTTCTCTTCACATTATTATCTCTAGAGAAACCTCTTTTCAGTGAACACTGTTCCTGAAGAGGAAAGCAGAGCCACTCACACTGAGGCTGATGAGGTCACATGTGAGCTGCAGTTGCTTCTGTTTGATGACATGGATGGTGCCCGTCTCCTCCTTCTTAACCTGAACATACCACATGTAGAGATTGAAGTGAAACGCTCTTATCTTTTCTCCTCTCTGGTGTTCCTGTTTCAGTCATTTATACAAAACCATGACCAATGTGTTGTCAGACTACATTCCTGCCAATCATGTGATTCTGTGCTAATGTTTCTAATGTGTCTGTGTGTTCCTAATATGTTTCTAATGTGTCTCTGTGCTCCTAATATGTTTCTAAAGTAGATGTGCTTTTTGGGTTCACTATTATACTCACTTTTCATTGCCATTTCATTCCACGGTTCTGTGTTTTATGTTAAAAACCCTTGTAGGGACAAGTGTTGCAAATAAGCCCCGGATATAAGAAGTGTGAAGCCTGCATCGAGTTGCTGTGCTACAGTTAGTCAGTGCTTTTTGTATATGTCCCTATTCAAATAAACCAGCTAAACTATTAAATAGTGCACATTTTGCAATGAGGTTTGTGCCACAAAACAAATTATTAAGGAAACCCTCAAAAGAATGTACATGCAGTCATAGTAAATGGATCAAAATGTGACATATACTTAATATCTATACTTCACCAACCAATAGGAAATGAACTGTATCTCCTTTACAGAAGGCCAGGATGGGGTTGACGATCTTCTGAACAGGAACAAACTGCCAGGCAAGCTGAGGGACACTAGAGGGGTCAGACTGCAAACAGACAGACAAAACACTATTTCATGCATAACAGTCAAATATCATTGATACAAAACAAATAATTTTGTATTTGTAGGTTGAAGTCAACAGACACTCAAACTACACCTCAAAAATATCAGAACTACAGACCTTGCTGTAGGGAAAGGTCATCCAGACTTTGAGGGTTGGTTTTAATCCGATCATCAAGATCTATGGTAAAGATATAGTTTTAGTTTTTTAAGTATAGTTTTTGCTGTCATTGCATTAACAGAGAAACAGGCCTTAAAATACCTTGGTGAGAGAGGCCATGGCCAACAGTGAGTACTGAGTGATGGGGTGATCTCTGAAGTCCGGAGGGGTCCGGAGGGGTTCAATGCAGCACACCTCTCCTTTAGAGCCACTGAAGAGGCATCTGGAGTCACATGAGCGCATGCCCATCACCCTCCTGGACACAGGTGGCACCAGCACTAAGTCAATACACAATAAGACCAGTAGAATAAATATGCTCCTCTAATGTCTGATGTACCTGAATGCTAACTCAAACACAGAGCCTCCACTGTCGTTGCAAACTGCCAGAGTTGGGTCATCTGTGAACTGTGAACAGAAAGTGAAGAGGCGAGAGGAAACATTTTAGGATGTTTTCCTCTCTTCTGTATTTAGGAAACACCAGCACTGCTTATTTTAAAGACAATATGTAACTTTTTCTATGTGGATATAATGGAAACAAGCAAGTGCCACCACCGGTCTAAATTACAGGTCGGATCTGTGGAGAGGTGACACCGCTCACAGTAAGAATGCATGTTTCCTGTGTGTGTGTGGTGTGTGTGTTTGTTTTGTTTTTCAGTTAAAAATAGTTGTAATTAAACATGTCTATCCTGCATTTATTCAATGACATATTGAGGAAGATTCCAGATGCAAGAGTATCTCCATGAAGATATGCAGGTGAAGTATGTTATATAATGCACCTTTAAAGGCCCTATATTATGCAAAATGGACTCTTGCAAGCTTTAAGCTATGATAGAATGTAATTTCATCATATCTAGACAGTGTTGGGAAGGTTACTTTTAAAATGTATTCCCCTACAGATTACAGATTACATACCCCAAAATGTAGTTTGTAACGTAATCCATTAAATTACTTAAAGTGAGTAACATAAATTGTCTGTCTATCTG